AAACTTATTTTCTCACGTCCACATCGTCTAAACACGCCTAAATCTAAAAAAAGAAACTGTATTCATTATTTTTAAATAAAATTAAGATTAAATATTTCAAAATACTATAACTAAATTGAAAACAATTATTAGATAAAATACTAAACAATTATTTACTTTTCATTTTCAAATTTGAATACAAAATTTTTTAAAGATTTATAAAAAAAAATAAATAAACAATACTTAATTACCCACCACAAGAAAAATCATATTTACCTTCAAACAAAATTTATTAGAAAGAAAAAATCGTTAATAAAGCAAAATTATTGAATTATATGCAATTACATTTTTTTTCTTTTTCTTTCTCTTATTTCTCTTTCAATGTCATTCGTTGCCGCCACTTCTTTTTATGAGATATAAAATTTTTAATAAATATAGCAGGACATTTAATATGTCCTAACCTTTTACAAGATCAACCTTTTTATAAGATTACAGAAACATTACATAATTAAATACTAATTAAAGTCATAAACATATAGGATATTACTTTAGCATGAGCACTGTATCAAAATACCACCATGTAGATGTTCAATTATAACTTAGTAAATCACACCACATTTATATGTAAAGAGCTCGTACATGTACTAACCCAAAAAAATAGTTTTCAACCTTCATATTCTCTACGTATTTGTTTCAACTTTTATATTTGCAAGACATTTTAGAGCACCTAGGCCTTGTTGCTAAGAGTCCTTTTGAGCATTTCATATAAGCTTCCCAACCCTACTTAAGTGTATGTTTAATCTTGATCTTCTTGACTTTTACTCCTTTTTTCATAAGTTTCAGTAATCGCATGCTCATTATCGTTGCTACTATTCATCTTCTTTCTCCTTTCCTTTTTTCCTCGTTCTTCTCTTCATGTTCTCTTCTACTTCTCATATTATCCTCACCCATATTTATTTTATTTATAACACATTTCTGTAAAATTTTGTGAAATATTTGGAGCCCCTTTTGATGAATTCAATGTCGAGTTCTATCCTGCCAAGGTCCATGCTAACAAATTGGGTTATTGTATCGAGCTCCATACTGCTGGGCTTCTATGTTGTTAGGCTGATATACTGTCAAACTTCTATAATGTCGAGCTTCCATCTTTTGTATATATGAGCCGCAAGGCATAGTTAGAAGTCATACGCATGTTTGTGATTAATGGCCAGCTAACTGGTGGGCTGAGTTTTATTATTTTTGGATTTTTTGGTTGCCACAATTTCAGTTACAATCAACCATTAAGTAGTGGAATCATTATTAACTAGATCATTGTTAAGTTAGTGGGATCATTATTTGTTTAAGTGGAATGTAGTTATAACTAATAATCTTTTGTAATTCTCATTGTTAAACCTTCTGTATAAGCTCAACCATTTTCATCAAAGAAAAAAAAAGTTGAGTTTTATTCATAATTATTACTATATCTCTTTTATATTAGTGAGAGTGATTTTCTTACATTCTTGAGTGGCTCAATAACCCTTAAGTTTTAGTGTTTAAACTTTTAGACTTGTCTTCCATCCTTGAAAGTGTGATGTCTATCAATTTCCACTCAATCTTCTTAACTTTTTTCGTTTTCTCATTTTAACCAATTTTCCAAATTGATGAGCTTTTTAGCCTTCCAATCTAGATAGATCCATAAAACAAATTCACCTCTCTAGTTTCACATCACCTTTTACCAATGAATTTATAAAAAAAATTAAAAATTCAATTAACAATGAATTTATTGATGAATTTTTCAAAAAATCAATTACTAATTGATTAATAATAAAATTTTATATAGTTAAATTATTAATAGACTAAGTGTTGGATCTTACAAAAATTATTATCAGCAAATTTACAAAAAATTTACCATGACATGATCAAAGCTTATTAAATAGAAACTTTGATACTCATTTTATCGACGAAAATATTTTTCATTAATAAAAAAATTATTACCAAATAATTTTACCAATGAATTCAATAATAAAAATATTTGTAAGTAAATAAAATCCTAAAATCTATCAATAAATTCTGATAATAATTTTTATTTTCTCATTAAGTTATTTTTATTGGTAATATGGTATTTATTTTTATAGTGACACTACATAAAAGTAAAAAACTATACTATAGGCTTCATTATTACCCTAATAGTAATAAATCAGTTTTTATATGTTTTTTTAAGCACATTAACTTTGATTTTTGAACAATATATTTACTAAATTTCAAAAATCATATTTATATTACAACTAAATAATAACATAATAAATTTTTAACCATAAACGTGAAATTAAGTTTGATTACATATTTTATCACTCTAACTGTTATCGTTTTATAAAATTTTATTTTATCTTTCTTCATATTTTAACATTAATATTTTCAATTATCACAAACTTATGAATCCGTCAAAATTATAATAAAGTTATAAAATGCTATAAAGATAACTAAAACTACGTTTTTTTTCTTATTTTTGTATAAAATATAATTATTTTAATCTCATTTTATTTTTATTAATATTTTAGAACACTTCATTACTCAATTACATGTAATTAGCTTTAGAAAGTATTTTAATTTAAAAAAAAAAGATATGAGAAAACAAATAAAAAAATATTTTAAAGGTTAAATTTAAATCTTACCATATTTGAATGATAAAAAAAAAATCATCCTAATAACTCTGTCTCTTTTTTCTCTTAATTAACAGTTCTTCGTCATCAAGATACAAAGATAACAAATTCATCTCAAAAAAATTTCGGCCCAGTTCATATACACGGTAATTCTTAGACTCCCTCAACCAAGGCATGAAAAACCAAGAGAGAATAAAAAACATATGAATATTAGGTTCCATTTTTTTTATATACAAAATAAAAAGAGTATGAAACTTAGGAGGCTAAAAATAGAATTAATAAAAAAAACAAAATATTTAACTCCATTAAACAGTTTGTTTGAATTTTAAATTTTATCGAATGTTTACTATATTTTACTATATTATATGTTTAGAGTTTAAGCATAGAAAATATATTATTTAACAATTTGATTATAGATTTTAACATAATTTATAACTATGAGAGAAAACTAAAGTTATTAACATTAACAATTTTTTGTATTAAAAATATAATATTTAATAATTTTACAATGGCAAAAAAAATTTAAACATTCTGTTGAATCAAATTTAAATTTTATGTTTGATTGTAATAAGTTTTTAATAACAAAATAAAAAATTTTAGAACTAGGGAGTTTGGAGCAGATCGTACGGCGCCCACAGAACGTCCAAAGGGCAAGGCATCTTTGCATCGAGCCTGACCCAAGGCTTCCCCTTCCCACTCCAATGCAGCAGACTCACGGGCCCGGGATGCAGTTCCCGGCAAAGCCCACGAAAATTGTCCCCGCCGAGTCCGTGCTGATTCCAACGGCGATCCACCGCCGCAATCCTTCCGGCGAAGACGAGCAGGAATGGCGGAAGCGACCCGAGCTCGTAGATCCGCATCCTCTTCTGCAACTCCATCCACTCTTCGATGACTGTTGTGTAGTCCCCGGCCCGCCACCGCTGTAGATCGATCACCATAACGCCGGTGTTGAAGTAGCACGGCCGCTTCCGGTTCGAGAAGGAGAGCGATAGCGAGGGGTTGGCCCAGAATGAGGGCGTGAAGTAGGTCGAGAAGTTGGCGGAACAGTACTCCGGCGCGGCTAGGACCTCCGTGTCGCTGAGCGGCGTGGAGGCGAGTTTGGCGATGTCGTCAACAAGGATTAAGTCGGAATCAAGGTATACGACTCTGACGACGCAGTGAGGGAGGAGGTCTGTAAGGTAACTTCGCGCATAATTGAGGGGCGTGTCCAGCGCGGAGCGTATGGAGGTGGAGATGAGGCGCGAAACCGCGATGTCGTCGAAGGGATAAATTTGGAAATTCAAATAAGGAAAGGAATTAGTTAGTGTTTGGTTTAGGGTAGTGAAGGAGGAAGGTTTGGAAGCTGCGGAGAGGAAGTGGAAGATCACGTTTTCTGGGCATGAGCTGTGTTGGAGCACGGAGAGGATTGCCGCCATGGATCCTCGGATGTATGCCACGTCCAGGGTCATTGCCACGTGGACTGCATTCCTGGGGCACGTGTCATTCGGGTGGTGCTGCAGGGTGTTGCATGTGGGGGAGTTATAGAACTTTGGAGCTTCTTTAAAACGTTGTTGGGTGGTATTCTGGGAGAAGACGACGGTGGTATATTGAGATTTAAATATGAAGAAGAGGAAGAAGAAGGAGAATGTGAAGCTACGTGCCATTTGACAACAAAATGGGATTCGTTCTTAACACGACAGAAAGATATTGCTTCCCTATAAAATGTTTGGATTTGTGTGGGATTGTTCCACTTTCAGCTCCGCTTTCGACAAAGAATGAGCTGTCTCAAAATTATTTTTTCTCTTTCATCTTATTTACTACTCTAATATATTTATTTACTTTTTCCATATCGAAAAACAAAAAATAAATTCAAGCTTTATCCGTCTCAATTATATAAAAAAATATATAAAATAAAGACGCCATCATATATAATAAAGTAAATAATCAAGAGTAATTAGGATTAATATATAAAATAAAGACGCCATCATATATAATATAGTAAATAATCAAGAGTAATTAGGATTACAGTCATGTCATTCTTCGTGTCATCCTTAAAGTAACTCCAGAATTTAAGCTTAAATGAAATAGAGTCTAAATTGGAAACTTAAAAGGAAAAGTATTCCAAAATACAAGAAATAACTAATAACGTCCTAAGGAGACTAGGCAGCAGCATTGTCCTCATTTTTCAAAGCTGTCTCCAAAAGAACCTTCTCGCCACCTGCTCCCATCCAAGTGGATGATTATCGTGAAAGGAATCATTCACAAACAAGAAAGGGTGAGCTAGGTATAAAAAGCATGTTATTCAATCACACACGGCATGCATAGTTCACTCAAAACATGGTAAAATGACATCACAAGACTTGTTGCTTTATAAACCGACTCGTCCAGACTAGAATGATTGTCGAGTTATGGCGGGTTATGCACTCGTAGTGGCCTCTACTGCTTTGCAAAGCCATTGCCAATGGGTTCCACCCTACCAAACTCACGAGGTTAGTCCGTTCCGCGCCTTGGAGCATACTAGAAGCCTCAAAGACTAGGACCTCCTGCTACTCCTCACCACAAGGATCAATCATCTCTACTTGAGAATGAAAGACCATTGGAGCGTCAGAAAACCCCCCAAGACTGAGCTACCATGCAATCATTCTACACATTACTAGGGCACCACCATGTATCCTCTCCTTGAGGATCATGGAATTACGTCCATGAACCATACTGTCACTTTAAAACTGAACTCAAGGCATGAGTAACCAAATACCATCATATTATCACAGTGAATCCAAACATAACTCATACTCTCGCATAGCTCCAACATAATCACATGATCATATCATATTATGCATTCAACACACTGGATTCAATCAAAAGAAATCAAAAGAAGAGACTTGACCCGAAAGGAATCGCACAGCGCACCCCTACTCTTAAGGCGAGACAGGCAGGTCTCGCACAGCGCACACCTTAATCCGCATAGCGAATTAATTCGCAGCATGTATCATACTTCAAACCTCTCGCATAGCACACCCAGGTCGTTATGCGAGAGCCCAGACAGAGACCAATCCCCTTCAAACCTCTCGCTATGCGCTCCACTTGTCCTTCGAATTAATTGGACAATGGTGCCAGACCATCACCAGTCGCATAGCGACAGGACTCGCCAGGCGAGTCCACAAACAGAGAGCAACACCCTCTGATAATTCGCACAGCACACCAGCTCGCACAGCGAATTTTCCTGACAGTGAGCACCCTCTACAGGGTTTCACTATGCGAGATGACTCGTATAGCGACTCTGCAGAATCTGCAGAACGAAATTTCTGCAGAACGAAATTTCTGCAGAATTATCTACTCAACCATTCCTTACCACTTCTAGACCTTTCTTCCAACTTCTATTGCCTCTAATTCATACTTGGTACCTAGTTAAACTTGTCTAGATGTTTATAAGGTGTTATTAACCTGATTCTAAAGTAATCACTCCCTAACTTTTCATTAAAACTCCAATTTTATTAAACTAAGGACCCAATTTCAATTCTACCAGGTTGCTAATGACTTTACTCAGTTTTATGACCCTAACCAGTTCTAATTGACTCATCCAAGCTAGCCAAACTGCCCAATTGGTCATCGGAGAAGAACCCAATGTCTGAAAACATCAAACTCACCTTCGACGCCAGCACATATGACTAGTCACAACTTGCTAGATCAGACCAGGGCTGCTCTATGATCAGGGATGTGCCAACTCAGGTTTTTAAGGTCCCTCTATCCTACCAACGAAGTACTCTCAAAAATTCATCCAAACTGTACAATATGTTCTAGACTCCAATTGCCCAATTACAATGCATCACTTCCCTTCACACTAACCTGAAACAGTACATGTACACTCACCCACTACTCATATTGACGGTTTTACAGAGTTCTTACTCCAGACCAGAAATTCATTACAGCCAACAACCTCATCCAAGTCAAATAATGTTCAGCACACCGTGGTTACACAACTTCCACACATCCAGCAGATACAAATCAACATGCTCACCACAAAAATATAACTCAACAGTAAATAATCATAAATTATCAAGCATACACATCATATAGTTCAAACAAAACATAACTAACTCCCCTTACCTGGTTTCTCCAAGCATAACTAACTGAAATTGTCCTAGCAGTACCCTTGATAGCACAATAGCTCAACCTGACCCCTACAAACCACCAAAGTGGTGACAACAGCAGCTCTTAGAGCTTGATTTGGCGAAACGTACGAAAATGAAACCCCACTCGTAACATGCAACCAGTAACGTTGCATGCCCTAGGTTTAAAAACAGTGAAGGAGAAGGGGATAAATGACTTACCGGTCGGAATGAAGAGAACGTTCGGTAGAAATGAAGCCCTCTACGCCGCAGACGCTTGGATAGCACAAAAATCAAATTCCTATGGTTTTTTGAGCTGAAAATCTAGAGAGAAGGCAGAGAGAATTTAGGGCATTAGAGTTTTAGAGAGAGAGAGAACTCAAGCAAAAGCATCAGACTTCTTAGAAGTCTTTCCTAAGGCCAAGTTGTCCTTGGTTTGATGGGCTTGGCTGCCTCACATAAGGCCCAATGGCCTTATATTTTTCAGGCCCTTACATTCTCTCCAACAATTTAAAATTTCCGTCCCCGAAAATTAGACTTACCAGAGAATAGGTGGGGGTAGGATCCCTCATCTTGTCCTCTAGCTCCCAGGTAGAGTCGCCTATCCTAGCATCCCAAATTACCTTGACTAGTCTGACAGTCTTTCCCCTGGGCTGTTTGGTTTGACTTTCCTCAACTCTAATTGGTTGCACCTCTACAGACAAGTCTTCCCTAACTTGAACATCTTCAGCCTCTAATACGTGTGAAGGGTCCAACACACACTTTCTGAGTTGAGAAACGTGGAATACTGGATGGAGATTTGCAAGCTGAGGCGGCATGGCTATCTCATAGGCAACTGATCTTATACGCTTCAGAATCTGGTAAGGACCAAGGTACATAGGAGATAATTTCCTAGCACGAATGGCTCTTCCTACACCAGTAGGAGGAGTCACTCGGAGGAATACATGATCTCCAACTGCGAATTCTAATGCTCTTCGCCTCTGATCAGCATATGATTTTTGTCGGCTCTGAGACGACTTCATTCTTTCTTGAATCAACTTCACTTTATCCGTAGTTTGCTGCACAAGTTCTGGCCCAGTCAATAAAGACTCACCCAGTCAATAAAGACTCACCCTCCTGAAACGAACATAGAGGGGTTCTACAACGCCTCTCATACAAGGCCTTAAATGGCGTCATGCCGATACTAGCCTGGTAGCTATTGTTATAGGTGAATTCCACCAATGGTAACACCTCATCCCAAACCCCTATAGGTGATCCAAGATACAAGTCCTCAATAAATCTTCAAGCGAATGGATCGTCCTTTCAGACTGTTCATCCGTTTGGGGATGATAGGCCGAGCTCATCTGCAGTCTGCTACCCATCTCACTCTGTAGTATTTGCCAAAACCTGGAAGTAAACCTAGGGTCTCTGTCTGACACAATACTGGAGGGTACTCCATGAAGTCTCACAATCTCCTTAATGTAAAGTTGCGCCAGCTTTGCCATAGACATTCTCAGGTTGATTGCCAAGAAATGAGTGCTCTTGGTCAATCGGTCTACAATCACCCGTACAGCATCATGAGTTCTCACCGTGCGTTCCAAATTGTCTTCTTCCATCTTTCATCTTCTCCGTTCCAAATTGAAAATGCTTTTTTTATAGAAAAATAAAAAATCATATCAAAGAAAAAAAATGACATTATTAAGTATTTAATGTCAAAATATGCATTTTTTTAATATTAAAGATTAAGAAAGAACTTATAATTATGTAAATGTCAAATAAAAGTATTAGATAAAAAATAAAAAATTATAAAAAACATAAAAGTTATTGAATGTGTATTAGAAGTAAGTTAAAAAAAACATACCAAATAAAATTTAATATAAATTTGTTAAGTTAGCTAAATAAATCAAAAGGGTTTTAATAATTTAAATGTAAGATGACATATATGAATGTGAAAATTTTCTATTAAAATAAAAAATATTTCAAACAATTAAAAAAAACATGTCCATTTCACGTTCCTACCTACCGATACTATTTTGTTATTGTCTATCATAAAAATAAGGAATAAAGTATAAAGAAAAACGTTGGATAATAATTTGTTTCCCTTTTTTTCTATATCAACTGCTGTAACTCACACATAACAAGACATGGCGGAAAAGAAAAAAAAAATTGAAAAGAAAATGACATATTTAAAATAATAAACTTCAAAAAATATTTAAGTATGTTGTCATTTGACATCATTTTTCTCAAAAAGACTGAAAAAAAAATAATTTTCAACGATTAAATTCATCCCATCTAGCACAGCTGGTGATGGATCTCTTGGACTTGGACTCGGACTCGTTGATTGGTATTGGGTGAGGGACACTCCCATTTCCCACCCCTTCCAAAAACACCATGCCCTCAAGCTTTAAATATTTTACTCAATATATAATAAATTAAAAAATTTAAAATAATGTTACCCAAGTAAATGTATCACCAGTCGACATGTGAATCTCACGGGCCCCTTCGGAAGGGCACTTCATGTTTCATGGAAGCAATTTTGTACAATATGTCAACACGTGCTACATATGGCAAAGCTGATCAACTATTAGATTGGAAATTACCAGAAATGACTTAAGTGGGAACTTGATGCATACCAAACAAGGATTATCCTATATTTGACTAATAGAATTAAGAAGAAAAATTGAATTGTTAAATTACATACAATT